GCGGGGGGCAGCGGGGCCTCGGGCGCTGGCAGCAGCTACTCAGAGCTGGGGCTGGCTGTGGCGTGCCAAGCAAAGTGGCCTCGCATGCCACACTCAGCACACGAGCCAGGGGTTGCCAACCCCTCTCCTAATATCTAACCTAAACCTCCCTTACTGCAACTTGAGACCATTGCTCCTTGTGCTATCATCTGTCACCACTGAAAACAGTCTAGCTCCATTCCCTTTCGAACCACCCTTCAGGTAGTTAAACGCTTCTATCAAATCCCCTCTCAGTCTTCTCTTCTCGAAACTAAATAAACCCAGCTCCTTCAGCCTCTCCTAAGAAGTCATGTGCCCCAGCCCCTGCACCATTTTTGTTGTTCTCTACTGTATTCTTTCCAACTTGTCCGCATCCTTTCTATAATGAGGGCCGCAAAACTGGACACAGTACTCCAGATGTGGCCTCACCAGTGCTGAATAGAGGGGAATAATCAATTCCCTTGACCTACTGGCAACACACCTACTAATGCAGCCCAGTATGCTGTTAGCCTTCTTGGCAACAAGGGCACATTGTTGACTCATATCTAGTTTATTGCCCACTGTAACCTCCAGGTTCTTTTCTGCAGAGCTGCTGCTTAGCCAGGTGGTCCCAAGCCTGTAACAGTGTATGGGATTCTTGCGTCCTAAGTACAGGACTTTGCCTTTGTCCTTGTTGAGACTCATAATAATTGCTTTGGTCCAGTCCTCCAATTTGTTTAGGTCACTCTGAATCTTAGCCCTACCCTCCAATGTATCTACTACACCCCCCCACCCCCCAAGCTTGGTGTCATCCTTGAACTTGCTGAGGTTGCAATTCATCCCATCTTCCAGATTGTTAATGAACAAAAACCAGCCCCAGGACTGACCCATGGGGCACTCCACTTGATACTGGCTGCCAGCTAGACATTGAGCCATTGTTGACCACCTGTTGAGCCCAAAAATCTAGCCAGCTTTCTATCCACCTTACAGTCCCTTCATCCAACCTTTACTTCCTCAGCTTGCTTGCAATAATGCTGTGGGACACAGTATCTAAAACCTTGCAAAAGTCAAGGTACCACTTTCCTTGTATTCACGGAGCCAGTTATCTCATCATAGAAAGCAATCAGGTTGGTCAGGTATGATTTACCCTTGGTGAATGGCATTGTCTGAGGGCTTGAAGTGTCCTTTTTTAGTCAAGCTGGAATCTTGCCATTTGGGCAAGACACTGTTACAGAACTCTAACAGGGAGTATGGTGTAGCGATTCTTTGCCTTTTTATTTAAAATAGGAAAATGATTTGAATCTGTGGTTTGAGAAAGAAGCATCCCTAGCGTCTGTTCTTAGAAGATGGAACAGGCTGGGAGCTGACTGAGCATTGCCATGCCTAGGCATCTCAGCCATGTTCCAGAGGGCTCTCTAAAGACTTTGTCAACAGGAAGGGTGGGTGTTAATGGAAATATGATAAGTGTATGTGATGTGTCCACCTGTTCACTGACCTCTACTATACAAGCCAATAAATAGCCACACTACATCCATGAATACTCTGTAACAAAATCTGAAATAACTTAAAGATGAACAACTGAATCCCATTATTGTGTAGCCTTTTCTCAATGGCCCTTTTTATTCTCAATGTCAAGTCACATTTTTACATGATAATTGTCTGCCATCATTTTCCACCTATTTTTTACACTCAGATGAGTGTCTTTTTTCTGTTATTTCTGATGCATTGTAGCTGAAATCCTTTCCATCTTCTCAGGTATCTCGCTATGCATGAGACTAAGCAATGAACTACTAATTAATAGTGATTCAGATCAAAGAAGAAAGAATACAAGCAACTCTTATCTTCACTGTTGTATAAAAAGTATGGACATAAATAAATTCCAGAAGAGATCTGGAAGCTTTGTAAGAAACCAAATATTTATTTTCCTGGAAATGAGGGAAGAGAGATTCTTTGCCCCACTCTGCTTGTTTTGATGTCACAAAAACAGTGGAACCCACCTGCACTTGGCAATGGGCACAGATCCAGTGAAGCTGGCTAATTCAGCATCCTTGTCACAGCTACTAGTACACCAGCTACTAGTACATCAGCTACTAGTACATCACAGTGGGATGGAGGTATGGGGAGCCTTAGGACCAGGCAGGCAGAAGATTAGGAAGTCATAATTTGGCTCCTTGTTGCCCCCAACACTATTTTACCCTTTGCTCTGATATGTCACGGCTTGAGGAATCAACTTTCCACTACTACTTTCCACTATTTTATTTTAGTAAAGGAATGATATAGAACAGATGAAAGGAGAAAAATTAGTAACTATTATACCTTTCATTATAAGGCTTTATGGCAACTAATCTGTATTTAATTAGAGGGGTATTTATTTCAGAACATACTATACCTTTTGTTCAGACATTACTGCTCCCTCCTCTTCCTGAATGCTTGGTCTCATCTTGCCATCTTCAGATGTAGTCCAGCTCATCTTCATGCCTACAGGCATGGATATTTTAGGTTCTTCTACTGCTAGTTTGCTGGCCTCTTCCAAAGATTTCTGTTGGGTTGTGGATGGTAATGTTTGCTTTTCTACACAGACAGAACTTTGGGGTTTTGGTTTCAGAGTTTCTTTGTTGCTCTGTTTTCCCACACCATTTACAGACTCTTGAACATATGATTTAGTCTTTGCATTTGTTGTTGATTCTGTGTGGCTTCCATTTGCTTCAAGCTTCCCAGCTTCTCCTTTAAGGTATGAGGGAACAGAATCCCTATTTTGGTCCAGGCTACAAAAGATAAATAATAGACCATTAAACAATGTTTAAACCACTCTCAGAAAGGCTAAACAATACGTAAGTTACAAAAATGCATATATTAATGAGTTTGTACCTTTTACAAACAGGAAAATTAACATGTAAATACAGTTTGTGTCAATATTAGCTACTTAATATTCCTGTACTTGGTACTAGGGCACTCTTTAAATATTGGAGGCACACTGGCAACCCTCCAGTCCTCTGGCACCAAGGCTATTTTTAGTGATAGGTTGCATACTACAGTTAGGAGTTTAGCAATTTCCAATCTGAGCTCCTTCAGGAACCTAGGGTGAATGCCATGAGGTCCTGGTGATTTGCTATTGTTTAGTTTATCAATTTCCTCTACAACCTCAGCTACTGAAACTTCAATTCAGGTAGCTCCCTAGACTTGTTCCTAGGGAGGAATGGATCTGGTGAGGAAATCTCCATAACATCTTTTACAGTGAAGAGAGATGCAAAGAATGCATTTAGTTTCTCGGAAATGGCTCCATCATCCTCTAGCGCTCTTTTGACACCATAACCATGCAAAGGCCAACTGAATCCATGGTGGTCTTCAGCTCCTAATGTACTTAAAAATACATTTACTGTCACCTTTTTGGTCTCTCACAAGTTTCTCCTCAAAGTCATTTTTAGTTTGTCTTATTACAGTTTACCAGAGTTTGTGTTCTTTTTTATTTTACTCATTAGGATTTGACTGTCACCTTTTGAAAGAAGCCTTTTTCTGTTCATTGCCTCTGCAACTCTGCCATTAAACCATGCTAGCTTTCTTTTGCTCTGATTTCCATTTTTTTTTGATTTGCAGTACATATTTCCTCTGTGACTCCACTATGGTGGTGGTCCTGGACTTCAACCTCCTACCAGCCTAAGTTTAGCTTCCAGGACCTCTCTGCTATACTTTCCCATATCACTGGTACCCACATGAACCACAACCACTGGCACTTCCAAAGCACTATGTAGCAGCCTATCTGCACATTTCATAAGATCTGCTACCCAGCAAGCAAGTCACCATGTGGTCCTCCTGGATGTCATGAATCCAGCTATCTAAATGCCTAATGATTGAATCTGCCACTACTGCTACCTGTTTCTTCCTACCCTGTGAGGTCCTTCCAACTAGAGGAGTAATCTTGGTGCAAAAGGATACCATGACATTTACTGGAGGATGGGTGCCATCTAAAGGATTGTTTCCTTCCTTCCTAGCTTGATTCCCTCCTTCCTTGAGACTTTCACCAGCTGCTAAGGAGGTGGAACTGCTCAACCATATTCCTGAAACCCGGAGTTGGGTTTTGTCTTATTGACCTCCTGACCCTCCTCCTTGATTTCCCTGCTTTCTTCCTCAGTTCTTTCCATCTCATTTCCAGCCCCGATCTCCCAGCTTTCTGCCTCAATTTCCAGCCCTGATCTCCCAGCTTTCTGCCTCTCAATTTCCAGCCCCCATCTCCCAGATTTAAGCCCCCATCTCCTAGCTTTTGTGCCCCTTCTTTCAGCTCCAATCTCCCAGCTTCCTGCCTCAGTTTCCCAGCTGTCTCTTCTTTGCCACCACTTATATGCCTCCTGATCTCCCAGCTTTCTGCCTCTCAGTTGCCAGCCCCCTCATCTCCCAGCTTTCTGCCTCTCTGTTTCCTGGCTGTCTCCTCCTTGCCACCGGGCTTTTTCCTCGCTTCCACCCCAGTACCAGGAGACCCCGAGTAACCCCAGGGCACCTTGACCTCAAGTAACCCCAAGCTACCCCAAAACACCCCCTAGTGTTAACACACAGCCACGAAAGTGTGTTTGTGTGTTTATGTATGTGCATATAATTGTGTATGAACCCACAGAGTGTTTGTGTAGTTTGCGTGTATGTGTGTGTATAATCTTGCATCATGCCCTCCTGTCTAACAGTGCAATACTGAGATCCTGAGGGTTGGCCTGGCACCTGTCAAGTCAATAGTGTAAGCCCCAGGCTAGGGCCACCATTTGCTGCACGCAGTGTGTGGGGCTAGACCAGGCACACATGCTCCACACAGTACATGACACGGGGGTCAATCCAGGGAGTCCTGGGTCCATGCGGATTGGGCCCACACACAGGCCCCATACTCTGGAACCATAGCACAAGGCTGCTCTGGTGTGAGCACCTCATGCAGCATGTGCCAGCTTCATTTCTAAGCCCCACACTGGGGCTAGCATGCACTGCACATAGCATGCAGGACTGGCCCAGGCTGTGCTACTGCACAAGGTGAAAACTTCTACTTCTAGATGAAGATACAGCAGAATGATCTAACTCAAACCACAGTTGGTATTTACTTTTTATCTTCTATTTTTCTGGGCTTGGACTCACTTGTTTGTGTTCTTGACTTACAAATGTAATACAATACAAAGAAACTAAATTATGAATGTAACTAATTCCATAATTCCGTAGTTATTCAGAAATGTATGTATTTTCACCTGGAGGTGAAAAATAGCATGAGATCGTTTGACTGAAGCCAGACATATATATTCATAAGCTGGTCCCTACCTGTCATCTAGCCGATCTAGTAGTTCACCACTTATTCTGCGTCCTGGTGTTGGTGGCTCAACATTGACACTTGATGGCTCACTCTGCCAACCTGTAATGGAAGACATTTCCTGTTCTGCTTGCTGAACATCTTTAAGAATAGCCCATACTTTTTCTTCTGTCATCTCCTCTGACTCAACTCCTTCTTCAAGATGAATGTCCTCAAATAGCGATTTAAGCTTTTCTTCTGTCATCTCCTCATCAGTACCAGACTTTTCTCTCTCATGCTGTTCAATTCTCACTCCTCTTTGACTAGGCTCTTCACCCTGCATTTGTTTTGAGTACTTATCATCTTTCGTCATTCCAGCATAAATACCAAGATACCGAGGATAATCATCAAGGTCCTCCAACTGGCTCTGGCCTGTGGAAATATTTTTAACTGTTCCTTCTCTAGGCACTGAGAAATTGAATTTGCTGTCTTCCAGTGTTGTGTCTTCTTCAGTCACCACTGGTGGTCCTGTTACTGTACCATCTATATTCTCCTGTGAAGTTACTAACACATCACTCAGTCTACTAGGAGTTCTAAGGGGTGACTCTATACTAGAGATATTACTAAAGAAATCATCTTGTTGGAAAGGGGTGGGTGGTACGAAGCGCAACCCAGTGGGAGTTTCCAGTTCCACTTGAATGGTGGGGTAACCTAAGGAAGACAGTACATTTGGACTGACTGGAATGAAATATGGAGCAACAAATAAGCAAACATGTAAAATGACTGAATTATATAAAATATGAAAAATGTATGATAAAATAAGAATGTAAATTTGGTAATTTACTGGTTTGTTCTAAATGAATGCAACAAAAATTAGAGTTGCTAAAATGACTGGCCCAATGCAGCTACTGCTTTTTGACTATTTTGGAAAAAATAGTCAGTAAACCTTTAATGATTTGAATTGCAGCCATTTTAATATTTTATAGCTATAGCACATTCCCTTATGAGACTGCAAATGAATAAAATGGATAGGGTTGTTTGTCCTTTTGATATCAAATAGTATTTTATAGCCAGATTATAAATATTTCCTTTTTTATTATTTTAGTTCTTGCAAACATAATGGCCATAATTTCAAGGAATAGGTAGTTCATAACGCAGGACAACCAATTTCTTCAAATATCTTTCTAGAACAGGCCCACATTTTCAATATCTCAGTTTAAAAAAAATACACAGTACTTGCAATAGCTATGTACTAGGAGCTTTGTATCTCCCATTTAATTATTGCACCATAAAATGGATTTAAGGATAAAGAATACAAATGAACCTTAGTGAGGACAGTAAAGGAGATTTTCAAATGCAGCAGGAAAAAATCTAAAAAACAAGCAGGTTAACAAAAGGATTAGAGAACACAGAAATCACAAGGGAAGATTTATATAAAAATTTCAGGTACAGTAAAGTTATATAGATGAGAGGATTGTGGTGAGTAAGGAGATCTTGGAGACTGAAGCGATCTTGGTGACATGGGTACAATCAGAAACACTGATCAAATAAAGAGAGAAAAGAAAAGATAAGCAATGAAAACATGAGAAAAAAAAACCACTCTCAAGGATTAGACTGAATATACACAAACAAATGACAATGAAATGTACACTCCAGCAAAGAAATATTAGGTTCAATAGCCTAAAAAAAGGAAGAAATGTCTTGGGGTTAAAGTGACAGTGCTGTCTACATAGGGAGGTGAATTATAGATTTTTTTCTTGAATCAGCTGAGAGAAAGGTAAAGCGTGGTCTGGTCGTGGTGAGGAAAGGAAGTTTGAGGCAAGTTCAGAGAAGAGAGGAGAGACAAAAAAGCAACCGCAGAGAAACACATTTCCTTCCTAAAACACTTTGCTGTTATGATTAAAAGTCATAAACAACATTTCAAGAGGAACTTTCTTAAAATGTCAACAGAAAATTATATATGCAATGCAATGATTCAATGACCAATCATGCTACTTAATAATGGAGATATGCTGAAATTATGTGCTTTACATTGGAGAATCTTCATTTAATTTAAAGAGAAAAGATTTAAGACATCAGTATACATATAAATAAAATAAAAAAAGGAAGAAACTGCATCTAAGAGCATTTAAATCTTATCTAAAGAACTCTACACAATATTTTGTGACTGACAAAAATCAAAATCAGAGATGAGGTGCCAATGCCTGCCCTCAGTGTATCTAAAAGATCAATCATTTAATAACAAAAATAACTGTAATTAGTATCTCCACAGTTTGCTTATGGCAATTCTGTTGTATATATCAGAACTCCATTTATCCTGCAGTTCTTGACTTTTATCTAACTCAAAATGAATGCAACTTATTCTATAATTCCATTATATATTTGCAGGGTGAAATCTATTATATATTTTCACTGAATATGATGAGTGAAATAGATATTTTCTTATGTGAAAACTAAACATTCTCTTGTTTCTAAGCTGATATTGTAAATATAGAAAATTGTGCAATTTCTTAGGGTTTCAAATGAAAATAATCAAAAACTGGAATTCATTTGTCTAAAAGTTACACGTTGGTAAACCATAAATTCTTTTTACCATATGCCATTACCAAACACCCAATTATTTCTTTTTTTAAATGTCCTACTGTCTTGTCTATGGAAATGAAACCAATTAATATATTTTTTCAGGTAATTTGGGGAAAAGTATCATACAAACTACAGTCAAAATGTATTTTTATTACATAAGCAAGTATCTAATTGTATGTATGATCTGTGTATATATGATCCTTGATTTGTGAATTAAAGGAGAACAAGACATTGGTCCCCATCTATCTACAATGAAGTTAGTGGGAAGAACTTTGCTTATTTGTGTTGCAAGGATCAGACCCTTAACTTTGAGATGTAAAACTTATATGAAATGAAAATTGAGAATACTATACAAGTACATATGACATTTTTGTATGATTATCACATATGTGAGATTTTAAAACTTAAAGTAAAAATGTTCAAGCAGGTAGCAAAATTAAGATGTTGGAAAGGAAAATATCTTAACATGAAATAAAATGAATCCTTCCTAATTTACTCTTTTTATTTCAGGTATATTTCATGTATGTTTCTTGTATGAGTAGATGTGTCTTTGGATTAAAGATGGTCATAGAATTCAATTACCATCGATAGGATCATGAAAAACATTATTTTCATCTGCAAAGCTTCTGGTGCCTGAAATATTTCCGTAATCAAATATTGGTCCTTCCAACAGGGTCACAATATCTATTCGATTAATTTTTGTCAATACAGTGGTTAAGGCATCAGCTGGGAAAAAAAAAAGATAGAAATATGTGAGAAAAAAGTCTGCCATTATGAGCTTTCCAATTATTTTTCTCAGTCCCATTCATACTAGATACATTAAAAGTTGCTGAGACATATTTCTGCCTCAATTTAAATCTGGAAAGGTATGCTATCATTTACCCTAGAGGACTTCAAGAGAAGACTGAATGGTCACCTGACCCCAGATGTCTTTCCCACTCATGCAGGGGGCTGGACCTGATGATGCTTCAGGGTCCCTTCTAGCCCTATGATTCTATGATTCTTCTATGATTCTATGACTAGTTTCCTTAAGAAATCATTCTGCTGCATACTTACATGAGATTTCCATTCAATATGAGTCTTTTTCATAATTAATTATATCACATCATTCTATATATATAAATAAAAGGCTTAGTCTATCTGTCTGTGTCTGTCTATCTGTCCGTCCATAATGGGGGCATGGACGGATTAAATAATATATCCTCTTACTATCGGAACCAAATATTCTTCTACTAGATTTGTCATTCAGAAAGTAATCATGGCACCTTAGGGACTAATTGTTTCAGAGAGATAGAGGCATAATGAGCTCCTGGGCTGGGGGTGGAGAGGGATATGGATATGCTGACCAATGGCAGGGGGTAAGAGGAGATGTGGGTCAGGTGAAAGGAAGTTACTTGCCTGGGCTATTGCCTCTGCTGCTATAGCAGAATTCATTTTGGCAATAGCAGCCTCAGAGCTGGATTCCCTGGCAGCTGGGCCTGGTACCCCATTTGATCCCCTCCCCCTGCCCCTCACCAGTCCCCAGTGCCCCCAATGCATGCTGCTTGCTCTGGCAAAGGCTCCCTGGGGGACGGGGGTGAGAAGCACCATTCTGTTTGCCCCACTCACCCCAGATATAGTTTGGTGCAGTGTGTGCTGACCAGCTCTCTGAACTATGGCTGGGCCAGGGCAGTGTAAGACAGCACTGTGACAGACTGCTGGAGCGGGGGAGGGGGCAGGGAGCTATGGGATTCTCAGACCCTCTCATAGTTGGCACAGGGGCTGGTGCCCTCTTCCCTCAGCCCTAGTTATGCTACTGCAGAGGCACAAAGTTCTGTAGGCAACAACTTATGGCAGAAACAGAAACTTCTATACAGAAGGAAACAGGAAAAGCATAGGGGAAACCTAGATGTCAGTTTTGCCACTCATCAACACAGACCATATCATCACTGGACTCAGCAACACACCTGGGGGCTCATTCACCTGCTTTTCTACCAATGTCACATACACCATCACGTGCTTAGTGTTCCTCTAATGTCTTCACTGGCCAGATGGGGAAATCCCTACCTAAAAGAATGAATGGGTTCTAATTCAACATCAGTTCCAGAACACACTAAAGACTCTGGCAGAACACTTTGAACTGGACTGGGCCTCAATGATGAAATGCCCAGGGAGGTTAATGTGTTTATTAATTATTTGGATGCTGGAATATAGAGCTTTCTGGGAAAATTTGCAAATGGCATGAAACACACTGGAGGACAGGAGCATAATTCAGAAAGATCTTTGATATACTAGAAAGCTGGGCTGAAGCCAATGGGATAAAATTGTCATGCAAGGTGCTATGTGTCAGGAAGAATAATAAAAAACACAGGTAAAAAAAGGGGTGACAACTGGCTGGATGGCAGCACTACAAAGAAGGATCTAAGAGTCCTAGCAGATCAGACATGTATTGAGTCTGCAGTGTAATGCAGCTAAAGGAGAACACCTCTTCCCCACCACTGCAAAGTAAGATGCAAAATAATGGTTTGAAGTTGCAACAAATTAGGTTTTGAATGAATATCAGGAGAAATGTCTTCATTGTTAGAATAGTGAGGCAGTAGAACAGACTGCTTATGGAAGTTGTGGAATCTCCTTCTTTGAACGTTTTCAAGAAGACATTGGATAAACATTGCTCAGGGATAGTTTAGGAGCAGCTATGCCTGGATATGCTGTAAAAAGCAATAGTTGGAAACCCACGAGACCCTCCCTGCCATGGATCATTGAAAGATCATGAGAAAAAAGTTCTGCAGTCCAGAGAGAACCATGATCAGCAGCAGAAGAATGAAGCAGAGTTCCCCAATGAGCTTAGCTACAGAAGAAGATAAAAGGGGGCAGGAAATGTTTATGAAGGAAATAGGGTTACAGAAAGCCCTGTTCTCCAGTTAGGGGATGTTGCATGTAGAGTTATGTTTGCTGCCCCTGTTTGCAGAGCAGAATGTAGGGTGTTTGGTTTTCCCCATGCTGGTTGTCACATGGAGTTGGGATGGAATTTTTCCTCCTCCAGTTGCTACAATGTCAAGGTTTTTCAAATATTTATTTATTTATTGTTTTACCTTCCTCAGAAACATTGGGTGTTGTTAGCAGCCAAAGCTAAGGATTTTGACTACAGTGTTCCCCTGCTACTGCTGGAACTAAAACCTGTAAGTTCCTGGTTAGGGGGTCTTGCTTTTCCATTCAGAGTCAGATACATATATAATTAGGTAAGAATTTTATCTCGCAATCAGATTGGCATGTACAGCATGGGTTTTTTATATCCTCCTCCGTAGTGGGGCCTTGGCTATATTCCTTGTGTTTCTAATCTTCGCAGTGGCAGGACACTGAGAGGCCCTCATCTTCCTGCTTGACTGGTGGCAGATTAAGGTGTTATTGGTGTTTTTGAACAATGTATCTTATATGCCTTGCAACAGGATTGTTTGTGTAGTTTTAGTAATAGGTTATGAAAAGCACTTAGGGGATGGTTTGTATAGGGGTGATCCTGCCTTGATTAGGTCTAGGGGTAGACATTAAAAAAGCCTGAGCCAGAACTGATTCAATCTTTGCAGGTTAGTCTAACCTGCCTAGGCTGAGCCAGTTTGTAACTGCACAGACATCCCCTCTGGACTGAAAAAATGTAGGCATATGCCTGCAGTGGAACAGCCCTCCCTTCCCTTCCAGAGTGCTGAGCTGAGGGGGGCATGGCCAGACCCCAGCAGGATGCTCTGATTAGGGACATCTGCCTGCACCATCCCAGGCTTTTCCCAGCTTGCTGCTCAAGGGGCGGAAGTATGGCCAGCCCCCAGCCCCAGGCTAGCACTCTGAGGCAAGGGGAGGGTTGATGATATGGAGCTTTTCAATCTCCCTCTTCCTGCTTCTTTATACTGTCTGCAGCAAACTGACAGGTGAACAAGTCAACAGGGGGCTGATAATAGTGTTTATCACCCCATCAGCAAAACAATAGTCTCTCTCATTAGTTGAAGCTCTTCTGAAACCGCTTTTTCCAAGGAAGGAAGGAGGGACCTTAACAGCTGACCTGTTGATTAGCTCCCTAAATGGACACTGTCCTGTTTGCCTATCCAAATGAAATTGGAGAAACACACAGAGACACCTCTCAGCATAAGATAGCATACCACATGCCTAAGGTCCGTGGGGCTGTGGAAGATGGGAGGGGGGGATCCCTGCTTGAGCAGCAAGTGGGTGTGGCAGGGGGAAGCCAGGCAGACCCTGCTGTGTCTGCAGTCTCTGCTGGAGCTCTGGCCAGGGAGAAGGGGGAGGGGCCAGCTCTGCTGTCTGGAATAGACAGCCCCACCCAGCCTAGAGAGCATGCTAGAGTGCTGGAAGACTCTAGTTTAACTTAAACCAGGAAGGGGTCTGGGACAGACTGCATAAACCGGTTTAACCCAAATCAGTTAAGTCTGATACTACATTCAACCAGGTTTATCTTAAATCAATTTCAGCCATTCTGAAACTGGTTTATGTGCACTGAACTTATGTTCTGTTACAGGTTTAAACCAGTTTGTGATCACTTAAACTGGTTTATGTGTAATGTCATCCCTACCCCAGGGGGTTGGACTTGACAACTTCTGGAGGTTCATCTTGGCCTTACTGTTTTGTGATTCTATGACCTCAGACTAGCTATCCTTAAACAATAGAACTTTAAAAACCAACTTGAATCTGAAATTGTAGAAGAAGAGATTATGCAGACTTGATTGTATTAATTATGGTCTCAACAGGGTCCAGGACTTCTTATTCCATTACCTGGACCATCTGTTAACTCCAATGTCCATCCAGGTTTTAACTACTTTGTTTATCTCAGTCTAATCTACCCACTTATTACCTCTCTCAACAGTCCCTGCCCCTGTCCCTGTCCCTTTTCCTTCTATATAAAGGGCTTTTTTTTCTGCCAGTCCTTTCCTGAAAAAGTAGGCTGCTGCCTATGAAAGCTCATGCCTCTTAGACCCTACCTTCTGCCTGACTTCAGATTAGCATGGCTTTATACATCTGTAGAAGTGTCACTGTACTTGTAGAAACAGTAGGATTGTTAAGTATACGGCTAATGAATGAGGAATGTGATCATATTTAGATACGGTGAAATCTTGTTACTGCTCGTGTAAAAACAATTCTCTACATGACACCCTCTCATGCCATCTTTACATTTCATATGTTGTTTTGGTTATATTATAAGATACTCAAAGAAAGAAAAGGTCTCTCCCATAAAACACAAAATAACCAGAACAGAATAAAACCAGTGCCTTTTCAGTGAATCAGAAATGGGCCTTGGTAGGGGAGCCCATACAAGAAATGTGCATCTTTTGCTAGACAGTGATTGGCTGATGGAATTACATCTCTGCAGAACACCACTAGCCCACCCCAGATATTGAGAGATGGAGTGAAAACCAGCAGGTATAAAGGTTGGTATATTTGTCCTCTGGAGAATTTCACCCCACTACCAAGTCTGGACTTCAACAGACATGCGCAGAGAGTACTTATTACAAAAAATATACACATTCATGTACAGACTGCACTTTGTAGACCTGACAATATGTGAAGTCATGTATAATTCATAAACAACAAAAAGAACTGCTCTGAACTTACTTGTAGCATTTTTCCCATCTCTGGTAACCCATTTTTTTAATAACATGAAGCTCTGAGCAATCAGCGAGTTTGGGTTTTCTACTCGTATTTGATTAATTTCATCCACAGAAAAATTCAGTTCCCTTGCCAGTTCTATAAAGCAAGAAAAAAAAACACGCTGTAAAAACACATTGTAATCATCATGTCAGGCTTATATCTTGTGTATTCTGTGAAAGTAACAGCTTCATTAGGTTATACATATGAATTCACATCAACAAAAATATAACACAAATTGATCATCTATAGGATAATGACAACAACAGGTATTAAAGTATCATTCTTTAATTTGGAAAGAAAAAAATCATACCATATCTGTGTAATAATTGGCCTGTTACGTAAGATGTTGTATCTAACATGCAATACATCACACATGCAAAAAAAAAAAAAAAAAATCACTGAAGAAGTCACCCCACACTGATTTTTACAATCTTATATGTTCAAGTACTTGGTGTCCACGTATACCTACACTATAATCATGTAACATAGTACAAATGGAACTGTAAGCTTATGAGGGAATTAGATTTGCATTGATGTACAATTTGTAACTGCAGAACTAGTAAAATTAATGTAATGGGCTGAATTACATTATGGGCTAATAGGTGCTGTTGTATACAAACTTCTAGTGCTTAACACTGGAAAAATCAGAATTCTGGAACTGAGGGAATGTCAGTCTGGACCAAACCAATGGTCTTTCTCTTGACCCTGTCATGACCCGACACTTTAGGGCAAGGTGTCAAACTCAACCATGCCCCCCTCTCTCTCCATCCAGATCTGAAGGAAAGATCTGGACCTGGCAGTGACAGTTGTCAATTGTCCCCTGAACAATGACATGCATCACCAACAGGAATCCCTACCTGGAAATTTGGCAGGGGGACCTCCACTGAACTCCTGGCTCCTGAAAGAGCCCCATGGGCCACATGAAATGGTTCTTTGGGCCACATCTTTAACATCTCTGCTTTCAGGCAATCATTTTGAGATTAATATTTAAGTGACTTCAATTATTTTAAATAAAAGGCATAATTATTTGTTATTATAATTTTCAATTACATTTCTATTGAAATTTATAAATGTTTATACAGTCTCTAGTTTTGTGAGATGGAGAGCTCTGCCTACAACATGCACAGTACCATTAATGCCACACAACTTCAAAAGAACCTGAAGGTGCCTGGCCTTTAAACTGTAAAGGACATGTAAAGCCTAACTAGAAAAGATTATTTGCAAAAGGAATGACTGTAAAATCACAGGATTGATTGTACTGACATAATGAAAATTTACCTGTCCAGCTAAGTCCCAGGTGATCAGCTACAATTGCCATCCTTATATCGGTACGCTCACATGGACTCTGTGGACCTGTGATTTACAATTCCTTGATTAGAAAAATTGTGTAAAGAGTTCTCCAATACTGGACAATAGCTTATTATAATATTTAATATTTTAATCTTACTAAGTTGATGGTGTTCATGTTGTCTACTCAAATGATTGTGTGTCCTAATAACCTATACATAATTTATTTTCACAGCTGTTATTTATACTTTCAGCTCCGTAAGGCCAAATATCAAGCTACATGACGTTGTAGTATAATGAAACCAAACATGCTGACAACCTAGTTACTGGACTGTACACAAGTTGTTCAAGAACCCCCCAAAAAACACCAGGATTGAATTAACACCTACTTTCTCTACTTTGACAAAATTAATTTTGCTATCACAAAAGAAAATTTTTCAAGTTTTGAGTTACACAATATTTTTAGCATGCATCACTATCTGTCTACAGTACAGAATTTGTTTAACAGGAAGAAAGAAGAGTATAAGACAGCACATACAGATGACAATGACAGAATGAGAACTACAGTAAATCACTCCACAAGCAATCACAACAGTTCATGCACTAGGATCAACAAGTTGAAAGTTTTACAAACTAGGCTTGATCTCCACGAGGTGAGCCATGAGAGCTCCAGAAACCTGACTGCCTTCATTCTCACCAGTCCTCTTACTCCTCCTCCTCTCACTGTCGGCCTTTTCAATCTTTGATTTTAAAGATGCTGCCTCTGTTCTCATATCTCTAGCAGACTTCGATGTAATGGAAGGCTGGTAAACTTGAGTAGCTTCTGATAATGATGCGTTTCTTGATGTACTGTCTTCTTCATCATCAGACACCTCTGACTGCATCTTTTTTTCTTCATCAGAGAGACGATCCACAAGTTTTAATGTCTCACCACTAATTCCCTTAAAATACTCAATAGAATGTTTACATACCTCCCTAAGCTGATTTTTTTTTACTTTAACCGTTGTCATTGTGATGGAGGTAGATCTTACCTTTATTGGTAATTTAGAAGGAAGCTGTTTCATTTTTCCTTTTTCTAACTGCTCTTGCTTTTGCACTGCTGGAATTTTTCTAGCTAGATTATTCCTATACGTATTTTTTACTGGAATCTTAGATCTTACTTCTAGACAGGGAGCAGAAACATTTTGCTTTATTTTGTCAGGTTTAGTGGCCCGTCTCATTTTACTCCCTGTATTGTTTTGAAGATTACTTAGTGGGAAGACTTCTTTTACTGAGCTGGCCTTTATGGGAAGTTTTGATTTTGCTCTACTTCCTACCAACTCTGTTGACTTTTGCTGTTCTCCAAGTACTTTTTGCTTATCTCTTATTTTGTGTCCTTGCGTTGCCCCTGCACCTTTTCCTGAAGTGCTTTTCATTTGATTAGCTTTCTGTGTGGAACATTTGGGTTCAGAATGTTCTTTTAGTACTACATTACTGGCAATATTATTTGTATGGATAGTGGATGAATCCAAATTGTTGTTGTTATTAAAATTATCTTTTGGAAAATCATGTGCCTCGGTTTGCCTACAGCTTGTCTGGATAGTAGCTGAACTTGTAATCACTGCTATGTTTTCAGTTTCTAATCCCTGACAACTTGGCATCATAGTGTCTATCTTATCTGTTACTTCTCCAGGGCCATCTTTCTTCAGAGTCATGGTGGAAGCGGAAATCCCCATTTTAATTGGTGTACGCAATCTGGGATCAACTTTAGAAGTGTTAACAGCTGTTGATGATTTCTCCAGTGAGTTACTACCAAGTGTTGCTTCCATGCAATCTCCACTGGCCTGGATGATGGGCTTATGTTCAACTGCTGATGTTTCTACTCCTCTCTCTAGGTTTGTTTCTACAGTGTTGTCCCCTGACTGTGGCTGTGTGATGGCAGTGACTGTACTATCCCCTTCCCCCTTGTCCCCTGGCTTCCCTTCAGAAGTATGCTCACCAATCTGAAAAAATTGGAGTCTTTCTTCAACAAAATCCCTCTTGCTCATGTCAATTGCACCACTGCGAGTCATCTCAAACATCTTCCCTTCATGAAATGGGAAGGGGTTGGGCTCACTAGTTGGAGTACTTTCATCTGTTGGAGTTCTGGCTGGAGTTGTATCTGGTGTTGTTGCTTGAGATCGGTCTTCCACTGCCAGACCAAATGGCTTAGCCTCATCATCCCTGGATTTAGTCTCAAACACTTCATCATCTCCTCGATTATTGGACCATGGGTCAAAATCTAGACTTTTGGTAGCTACTGTTTTAAAAGGGGTTGCAAATTCTTCATCTACTTTGTAACTGAAATACGTATCAGGAAACACAGTTCTGTCAGGGTGCCTGCCTTCTAATGTGAAAAACTGAGCCCCTGACTTCTGTTCAGTTTTATCTGAATTCTTTTCAGAAGCTGGAACTTTTGAAGGTGGCTTGTCCTCTTCAGTGCCTACCTTTCCTTCCTCCTCAATAACTTCAAGCTTGCTTTGACTGAAGCAACGATCAGTCTGCTTTAAGATGCCCTCTGTAGTCCAAATATCCTTTTTGGTTTCTACAGCAGGACATGCAAGTTTAGAATCACTCTCAGTTAAACCATCATCTTCATCTTGTAAGTCATAACCGTCAAGAGAGTCAATTTCAGTTGCATCTGTATCATGAGAGAATTCTGCAGTAGTTGCTATGGAACACTCAGTGACAGACTGGTCATTGTTCCCATTTTGCACTACATCATTCTGAGGTGAATCAAGGCCAATGTCAAACTCACTGGGTATCCCAGAAGTAGGATGGCCTAACTCTTCCTGTTTCTCGCTCTTTTCAGGGGATTTAGGTTTTGAGGCTTCCTTCTGGTCATCTTCAGTTTCTTTTAGTTTAAAAGTATACTTTTTTAATGGAACTGGTTGGTACAGAGATTCATCATCACTGGAATCACTGACATCTGCTCCAGGTGGCACAGGAGAAGGTGGCTGAACTCTTATCACTGGTTCAGCCAGCTGACATTTGTCATGTTCATCTTGTAGATTTACTTCTATCATATCCACCTCATTCTCAGGGGAATAATGATGACTCTCTGACTCTGCTTGATCTGCATCTAATGGTGGAGGAGGTGGGAATTCAATGTAGGCAACTCTGTTACTTTTTGGTCTTTTGTTAGAGTCTTTGTTTATATTATTAGGCATCATTTTATCAATTTTTGGTTCCTCCACTGCTGTCTGCTTTATAGAGGTTGATTTGGCCTCTGCTTCCTCCTCCGATTCCTCAGAAACCTCAGGTATGGGACTGGGCTTGCCTGGTATATAAGCTATTAGTGAGTCAGGTGTTTTAGAGGTAAACTCATAACTCACTTCCTCAGAACTGGGGGTTTCTGGGGTTAGAGGGCTTTTCCCAGAGCTATCTATGAACGATACTTGTTCTAATGTATCATCTTCTGGACTACCTTGTGGAGAAGGAGGCTGTTTTTGCTGTCTAGCTGTATAAAATGTTCCCCTTGTCTCTTGTATTGTCTTACTTTCCTGACTTACAATTTTTTTCACATTTCCTTGTTGCATCTCTTTTTCATATTGCTTTCCTACTTGAACAAAACTGACATAGACAGGTAAAGTCTTTATTTCTTTCACTCCCTCAGTATTTACTAAAGGTGAAAATTTATCCAAGTAATCACTGGCGCTAGGGTCAAATAACTCACTCGAAGGAGATTCCTTTCCAGGAGTAAATTCTAAAGAATCAGGTGATTTGCTATGGGATATTTCAGTTTCCTCCACAGGAGGACTTAACCCTATGGAAGAACCTTGTTGCTTGGTAACTTTACTGATTTCTGAATGTTTTATTTTTTCATCTTCCACATAATCAAATTGTCTTTCAACTTGCTCCTTAAGCATAGTTGACTGGGACACTTTAGCTGACAGTTCATAAATGGTGCTTTTGGACTGATCAAGGACAGTCTTCTCCTCAGCAATTCTGACTGGAATGTGGGACATAGTCAAGTCTTCTTTTCTCTTTGAAATGTTATCAGCTGTTTCACTGGGACATTCCCCTTCTCGGATAATATACTCTCTGTACAGAACCTTTTTTGATGGGGATTTCACAGTCACTTCCTTCACCTCCTCTGAATGAGATCCATTTGTTGACAATTTCTGTTCACACTCTGTCACAGTGATAAATTCACTCTTTTTCTCAGTGTTCTCATCATCATGATCGATATGGTTTTCTTTTACTGCATCTGGAACAAGTACATGCGAGTGTTTTTCTTTCTGTGTTTTATAATTAGAAGCTCCAGGACTCTCCCAAGTTCTATAGATTTTTTTGTCCCAGTGTCCCTTCATTGGTGAGTCTGAGCTGTATGAAAAATTTTTAGCCTGCTGTTCCAAAACATGTTCTGGCATGTTTTTGCTTGATGTTTCAGTTTTCTGTTTCTGTACATCTGAAGCAGAAAGGTCTTCTGTAACTCTTCCTTTACCTTGGACGTTATCTTCTTTCATTTTAATTTCTTTTTGCAAAGCCATGTTTCCATCCGTGACACCTATTTGCTTTGCCTGCTTTTCCCTTGCATGAAGCTGGTACACTGGTAGCTTGCTTTCTTGTAATTTCTTTACTGGAATTTTGGACTGACTAGCTTGTTCTCTCTCCTCTTGAGGTAGGTCTTTGGTTCTTGGGCTTATACTTTGTTCAAATTTAAGTCTAATGGAACTGAGTTTTGATTGCTTGAGCTGAAATCCAGCCTGTGAAGCTTCAGGCATGCCAGTCTGTTGAGCATTTCCTTTGTGTTCCATAGTTTGTTTACAGTCCTCTATTTGTTGTACAAAAATCCTTTTTTCAGGACTGCTGGGCAAACTGGCTGCTCTTCTTTCATCAGATTTTGGAAAAAAATTTCCATTGCGCCCATACTGTCTCACTTTACTCCAATCATCACTTGATGGTAATTCTGCAAGTAGTACCTTTTCAGGGCTGCTACTGGCAGACCTCTGACTAGAATGCATTTCTTTGCCATTTTTTTTATGCTGCTTTTTCTCTGGAGATTGTAGTTCATCATTCAACTTTTCTGTTTTGTCCCGAAAAAA